TACAGCATTAGACACAAACACACACACTTATAATCCCAACAGGCCATAGGGAGGTCAAAATGCTGCAGTCTTGTCCTTGATTCCTACTGATTGCCATCTGTGCTTCAGTTGTGGTAATTTTCAATGCAATAGCTTGGAGTGGAACTGGATCTTGTTTTGACGCCCACACACAGACCATTTATAATGCGACGTGAGAGTAAACGTATTATCATTATGTAACCTTAGAAAAGTGACACCACATTGAACAAGTGGTACAGTTTTTGAAATTTTCATGGTAGGATAACCTAGTCTTAAAATATCAGTTTCAGTATATCATGGTATTAATCTAAAAATTCAGTTTAAAGACACACAAGTTGGTGGTGAAAACTGAAGGAAAGAAAATATTTTTTCCAAAAGATTAAAAAAAAAAAAAGTATCAAATTCACACTTTTAATTTTTTTCATTGAAAGATCTTATACACTGTCAGTATTTATCACGTTGTTGTCATAAGCCGAAAGAGACAAAGTGGCTGTGAAACATGTTGAGACAAAAAGAAAATAACCATGACCCTGTAATAACCCGATGAAGATGTTAAGGGGAAAGTATGGACAGAGAAGTGCTCGTGTACATAAAGCATATTCATCAGTATCGCCAACCACGAAGTGATATTTGTCTCTTACGTTATCAATACAGCTTAATACATGGTGTGTAAAGCAGTTGCTGTGCAGCGCAAATATAACATACCAATATAACGTACCTGGACTTCTCCAAAGCATCACCCATCCTGGAGTGCTGGAGTGTGTTCGGCAGCATTAAATCTACATACTAGTCACTATTATGGTGACTGCTGCCGAGTAAATACTAATAGGAAGATCGTTTGATCAGCAATAGTTTCTGACAAGACCATGACATGTGGCTCGTGGGGGAAACGTTGAAGCCTGCTATGCTCGTCACTTTAAGTTTGTGTCAAATCAGCAGGAGCTGTGTTTATTGTAATCGCAGTGTTGCCTCACACAGATGTATTTCAGACATAAATACTCAACTATTTTGTGGGTTTTGATATTATTTTTAGTATAATGTAAATGTTATATTGGTTCTCAAATCAAGAATGCTAATGTGGGATGAAAGCTAGTTTTCTGCCTTTGCATTGCTAATAACCTGATGTTCATTATGAATTATTGTGAGATTCTGGTTTCCTTAAACCAATGCCACAATTTTTATCGTCACAGTATCTGCTTACAGTTGAATATTTTCATGGGACAAACTCTTCTTGGATGGCTGAGAATTTTTAAATCCTGAATTTTTTAGTCTTAGATATGCTAAGCTAGATAATGGTATTGATGAACAAAATATGTATAATATATATAACGTATAATAAATCCATCCATCCATCCATTTTCCTGGATTTGGGGGGCTGGGGCATCAGTCTCAGAAGACATGACCAGACCTCTCTGTCTCTAGCCACCTCCTCCAACTCCTCCACATTGAAACACAGGTGTTCCCAGGCCAGGAGGCAACCTAGACAGGAGGCAACCTAGACAGATGTCCGACCACCTCCTTTGGCTGCTTTCAAAGCAGAGGAGCAGCGACTTTGAGCTCCCGCCGAATGTCAGAGCATCTCACTCTGTATCTAAGACTGACTCTGACCACCCTATGAAGGAAGCTCATCTTGTATCCATGACCTCATTCTTTGGGTCATTACCCAGAGCTTGTGAACATAGGTGCAGGTGATGTACTCCCACTCCTCTGCTTGAGGCAGTATCTCATTCTCAACCTGAAGGGAAAACCCATCTTTTTCCAGCTGAGAACCATGGCCTCACAAGCGGCGTCAAATTGCCCCAGAGCACCAACGGACCCCCTCTGCCCCTAATTATAAATGTTAATAAATGTTTTAATATAGTATAAATTGTCTTTCTGGGCAGCCAATCAGAGGGCAACTACCGTTTCAGCATCAACCACAAATTATTACTTGAGCTTGAACTAGAGTTAGAACACAAAAATGGCAACTGAAAATTCACTTTCAAGTAAATCTACTGAACCTCTGCAGTATTGTTCACAGTTGTCGAATCGATCTTTGTTGCTTAGCAAAAGTGACCCAGTTTTGGAGAAGAGAACAGGATCTCCTTCCCTACTAGCTGTTAGGGTTGTAAAGTCCTCATGAAATTACTTGAAAACCATGATATGTTTCCTTTCGAAAAAATCTGACAGACAGTGTGTTGTGCTTGATTTACACAACAGCAGTCGATAGTGTTTGAGACGTGCTCACTTTGCAGAATTGAAACAGCTCAGTGAACTAGTTAAATATGGAGAATTGTGAAAACTGGCCTTTTTTCAACTATGGAGGATTTCTCATGCTCACCCAAGCCTGTCAACTTGAACAAGGATGATATCTTAGACGACAAGATGCCATGTGTTTTGGGAGTTTGGTCATACACGTTTGAGCCGAGGTCAGTCGTGAGAGGCGTTGATATTGATGGAGAGTCACAGAGTCGTCACCAGGACGCATCTGAGGCTTCGGAGTGGTCGATAAAATGATATTACTTACAGTCTGAGGTAGCAAGATGCAGCAAAAATGCCTGTCGTATAACCGTGTAAAGCTCCACAATCTTAGAAATGAATAAACACCAACCATTTATTCTCAACCAAGGGATGTCTTTGTACCATATTGGTGTCCATAACACAAATGAACAGATAAAAACAAACTCCGAAGGGCAGGTTTACCAATTTTGATTTCAAGGTTACTTTAAAGACTTAAATTCTTTTCACCAGTCAGTAGGAAAGCCAGGCATTACTCTTCCCTTAGCTGTCCTCCTTTCCTCATGACTCATGAGCGTTAGACAGCAGGCCCCCACAGTGGGAAGCGCACAGTCCAAGCCCAGGCCTCCTCCATGTGTCTTCGTGTGCGCGCGTGTGTGCCATCTCTCTGCACGCAGATCGCCGGGTGCATAATTCATGGTTCTTTGCCAGTCATTTCCGGTCTGTGTTCTAGATTTGAACAGAACAAATCTGTCTACCACAATTTTTATTTTGTGTTATTTACTTATGTCCTTATCTATTTATATACAGTAGAGACAAAATGACAATCAAAATCAGTACACAATCATGAAATGATGTTTGGCATTTTGTGAAACAGTTTCATAATGGTAAAATTAGTCGGTCATTAAAAAAAGAGAAAAGAAAATCATCTAAATTAGGTCATCGTTCAAAATGGCTGCCAGTAACAGTTTTTAGCTATACCTTGTCAAGTCAAGTACACTTGTCATACCTCTCATCACAGACAAGTGGGAATGGAGTTCACCAGAATCATGGTGTTGGATTTGACATGAAACAATGTAAGAGACTGTGTTTATTGTATGTATTGTCTTTACACTGACAGTAGACAATAAAATAAAATCAGGAAAGAAATTTTTTACATGTATTAATCAATGACACATCAAGCATTTTAGCAATTTTTAGTTACATTTAATGTAAGTAACTTACATTATAGCAACTCTAAATGTTTTTTTTTATCTCTTTCTTGAAGTTAATATGAAAACAAAAACACTGCAGCGTGTCAGTAAAAAAAACAGTTTCAGACTTTCTTGTGTTGGAAACTGTCAGGCGGTAAGGTTGAGGCAGAAGCATTCGCAGATTTTCAAACGTTTAATATAAACCAAAGACAACTAGACAAACACTAAGACAACTTGACAAGATACTCAGGCATGAAAAAAAACCAAACCGACATGAAAGACGTGAGTCTCAGACGACGAAAGACAAACGGAGAGTGCGGACAAAGACTATATATACACATGAGTGCTCATTGACAATAACGTGAATCAGGTGCAGTTGTGGTGCATGTGGTCATGTGGTGCAGTGCAGTGGCTGATGGGAAATGGAGTCCAGATCTCCCAGATCCCTGACAGAACCCTCCCCCAAGTGCGCTACTCGCGGAGCGCCCAAACCGACACGGCCCCCCCACCGGCGGCCCCGGGCCCCCGGGCAAAAGGTCCACAACAAAGCCAGTAGACCGAGCGGCTCCCCTAACGGCACAGGGAGGCAAAAGGAAGTCCTTGGCGGGGCCTGGAAGCAGGGCGATCCCCTTCCTGGGGCCGAAAAGGAACACGAGGTCCCCCACGAGGCTCAAAGGGGGAGCTAGGGTCTCCGCGAGGCACCAGGGGGGAGCGAGGGTCTCCGCGAGGCACAAGGGGGGAGCGAGGTTCTTCGTGAGGCTTAAGGGAGGAACGACGCTCTCCAAGGAGTATGAGAGGGGAACGGCGTCCTCTGTGGAGCAGGAAGGGGGAGCGACGCCCTGAGCGCAGCGAAGGCCAGGAGCGACGTCTTCAGTGGAGCATGGAGGCAGAGTGACGTCCTCAGCGAGGCAGGATGGCAGAGAGACGACGGGGCGAAGACATGACGTCACCCCGGAAGCAGCATGTGCATGCGCGCCAGCACCCAAGGTGCGCTGCTGCATGGGGGAATCGTCACATAGTTAAACATCTCTTAAAAATTATGTTTTTCTTTGTTAAACAACAACAATAGATTATTTAAATGTTATATTATTAGCCTTAAATTAAGTAAATTGTCTTCCATAGACCCAGAGAATGAGCTGTTGCTATGGAAACGATAATACATAATAATGGTCACAATTATATAAACCTCTCATTTGAATGACACCTTCTGTTATAGAAAATTAATCAGTACCTTCAGACCAATCAGATTTGAGAATTTAACAGCACTGTATTATACTTTATTACCATTTAAGATGTGATGGTCTATGGTGTTATGATTAGTCTCTATAGGCTTGTGTAGTTGTTCTATATAATGTAATTAAAATGGAGGTGAGATTTCCATTTTATATATAAAAAAGTAAAGGTTAAACATCATATACATTTGTTTTTACGTAGATTATCTTGAAAATGGATCTCCCATTTTCACAAACACTTGGCAATGATCATTACATTTACTTCATTTCGCTGATGCCTTTATCCAAAGAAGTGATTGTGCCGACACAGGATAAAGGTCTTGTCCAAAGGTCCAACAATTGTAGATTGGTGGGATTTAAACTCATGACCATCTGATCTATAACCCAATGCCTTAACCACTGGGCTACCATTGCCCTTTACTTGTTAGCATTGTAGTTCCTGAGTAAAACTAAAGAATCTAAATTTGAAGTATGTCTATACTTAAGGTAACTTAAGAATTCTAATTTAAGAATTACATAATAATATAAAGCAGCCATTTCTGTAACGAGAATAAATGAATAGTTACAATAGATGCACAAAATATACTGCTACATTCTACCCTCTGGTTCCTAATAGAGAAAATCAAATCATAATGTGCATGAAGGGAAAGTCTTTAAAGGCATCAGGCTTCTTAAACTGCATCACCATGCTCTTGCATAGTAATTTTCTCTTCTGATTGCTCTTATGTAAAATTCCATTTCTGTGTGGGGGGGAAGCCCCCATTTGATGCTCGGTTTCTTAATTTGTTCCTCAGTGTGAGGCTGATGATAGCTTGTCATCAAGCCAGTAACCTAACTGGTATTTATATGCCAGCCTGCCATTTAAAGTGCAAATGCCTAGAGATCCATATGCAGAGTATTACTGGCCGAAAGAACTGCATGCCTAAACTAAGTCCTCTAAAGCCGGATTTATAGTTTTGACCAGAAGGCTTTCCAAACAGCTTGCAGAAGCATGGCAGGGTTCTGATGCACTCAGATGATTTGATAAGGGCTATTGAAGCTTTTGACACACGAAGCATGCCATGTTACAGATTAATTATAAGAACTTATATTATATTACGTTATATTTGTAGTCTAACCATAACACCCAGATTGTTACATCTTTACATAAACAAAACTTGCGTCAGTGTCTGTGTTGTGTTTGCTTAGTGCATGTACAATTTTGGGTGATTCTACCTAAAGGTGCGAAACACAGGATGGTGTTTAAGGAAATAAATTAATTTACCACACACGTGTTAAAGTCACTTACAGAACTGCAATATGTAAATGAATATGACCGAAGGGCAAGTATTTAAAATGTAAAAACCCACTTGACAAGTCTTAATAATTCAAAAGTTTATTGGAATTAAACTTAATGCCCTAGTACCTGAAATAAGGTGAAAGACCGATCACCATGGTAACACTTTATTTTTAATATTTACAATACCAGTACCAATAACATTTAAACTCTCCATGAAATGGCATCTGAGTTGTGAACCTGTTTCCTTCTGAAACAAGTAGTCAGAGAGACCACTTCAAGATATGCCACATGCCTGCTACATCTACACACACCTGACAATAAGTTAGTGAGCTAGCTAAACTTAGAGAACGAGGTTAACAAGAGTCTTTTATGTACACTTAATGGCAGAGAAGAAGCAACTGGTCAATCTGAAGAAGTGACACATTACAGCCTTAAGTTGGTAAAGCACCTCTAAAAATGACCTTGTACAAATTCCTCACTTTTCAAATGTAATGAATTCCAACTATTTGCTTCTCCACCACGCAATGGTTGGAAGAGGGAATAATGTACAAGAAGATGCACAGCCAAAAAAAAAAACACGGACCAACAAACCATGTTTACGGCTGCCAAGTTGCTATTTCAGCTAACACGCTGCTACTGTCGAGCAAGACCTGCCTCTGGGGGCGGGACAGATGTATATGATTGTAGAGAACTTTTAATTGGATAAAAATTAAGGTGTGACTAGATTTGAAACATCAAAAAAAATAAAAATAATAATAATAAATTTTCCCTGAAGTGAACATTAAGATGAGAATATCTCCAAAACTATTGCCATATTGGTGACTATACCACTAAAGGACAGATACAGAAAGCTCTGAAACGCTTATCACCTTCTTTTGATCAGTATTGCAGATGACATGCATTTTTTTTCAGTTGCTTTGTAAAATTACTTGGAAAATTATTCTTTGAAAATCACCCACAAATTTGCCTACTAACTGCACATGCATTTCTTTAGATTGCACAAGCAAATTAGCACTCTTCACAGATGTTCCTTCATTATCACAAGTAATAAAAATGGTCAAATAGTGCATGTTAAGATATTAATATTAAAATAAATTAAATTGCTATCAGTATAAATCTCTCTTTCTGAATGTGATCCAAGTATCCTGTAATAATTTGCAGACACACTACTTAATACCTTCTCTGTCCTCTCAGTTCAGGTGAATTTTGGCTTATTCTTTATGGCCTGTTTGTTGAAACATCTTTAGATCAAGGCTGGAGAGCGAGCGAGTCATGACTGGTTTTGACTTCTTTCCAGTGTTGGATTTTTAAGGATAAGTGAAAAAATAAAGGTAGATTTCTACACTCACATAGGATTCGGGATTGCTAAATCCCTTATATTTACATCATCAGTCATTTAGCAGAAGCTCTCCAGAGTTAATTATAAAAAAAAAAGTGCAAACAGCAGATCCTTGGAGAATGTGTACGGATTCCAGCCTAGAGACTATAAATATACATGTATAAACTTTTGGCTCATGTGAGTACAGTGGTAGCACAGTGGTTACGGCTGTGTCCTTCTGACTGGGATACTGATTCATATGATACTACAATATTAAAATAAAAATGCATAACTATGACTTAAAAGATAAAATATGTATATAGTAGATTGGGATATAGCTTAAAATAGGTAGAGAGCAAATGGAATAATGTTGCAGTAGTGGACAAACCACTAGCCTGCTGGACAGTTAGGTTCAACAATCAGATAAGGAGCAAAACCATACTCTTTATTGAGTTTCACAAAACACAAAAACTTAAACTGACTCAATTCGAAGCAAACCATAATATAAATCTTGCTTACTACACGTAAAATGTTGACGGAAAATGAAGACGCTACCCAGATACAAATAATATCTGTGATGTGAAGACAGAGCACGACATCTCCTAGCCAAATGACTTGCCGAATTTTTGTTGAGAGCAACTTTGTTGGACAAGGATAATAATCATATACTTGATTGTTGTCCTTAGTCTGTTTGAATGCACTTAACTAGCTACCACTCTTTAACCTTGTCAATTCCTGGCATCCAAAACGTCACATTAAGGAGCTCATTGGAGCGTTTAATTGCTAGCTAATGAATTTATCATTTGTTCACTCATGTAACATTGAGGGACACATTCCCAAAAGTGAAATACATTTCATTGGTAACGGACACACAAAATGCTGCACTTGTTCTTTTCATTCCAAAGTGCGCTGCATTCAACAAAGTACAAAAAAGATCATTTGTTTGATATTTGTTCATGGTGTGGTTTGCAAAGGTCACTGACGCGTTAAGCGATGTAATTTAGGTTTGTTACAGATACACAATTAGCTACACTTTGCTGTTTGTCACAGTAGGTTTATTGTTCTTTTTTTGCATGAATTATTTTTTGTATGTCTCCAATCAATACACAGTGATTCGAGCTAACAAACTTCCCGACTTAGATCACAACCTCCATGATTACTAATTCTAAAGCATCAAGGGAAAATATTAGGTCAATTACATTTAGAGCACTAGGGATAATGTGCTAAAAATTCTTAGCCAGTGCCTGAACCGAAGCTCTAGATTCTATAACCTAGATTTGAAGTACAGACTGTAGTTTTAATCCTTATTTCCTATACTGTCACATTTAGGAACATTTTTATATTAAGTGTCTCTAATACTTGTGTAAGAATACATACAGTAAAGTGTAACACCTCCTTCCAAGCTGGTAGAATCAATAAAATAATTTTGTTGTAAAATTAATAGATTGGGGTTTAAACTAGTTTGCAATTTGAAAGCACTTGCATACTAACCACACAGAAACTGTCCAGTTATTAACAGTTAAATGTAATTTACTGTATTCCACAGATAAAGATGTTTCATGAGCAGTTATTAGTATTATTTGGACCATATTTACTGTATTTGTGTTATCTGTTGATTTTTTTTTCTGATCTCAGACCTGAGCCCTTATTCATCCAGTCTGACAGAATTACTCATAATAATTGTGGTAAAAGTGTTCTTAGGAACAAAATGACTCACAGTTCGATTTATTGAAGGTTTGCATGTTTAACACACTTACAAGTTGATTAATACAAAATGTTGCAACTTTTTTCTAATGAACAGCTGTTTGTGCAGTTTAGCATGTTAGTTTTAACGAATTAGCAGATTGCAGCATTTTTACATGCAAATATGCAAAATACAGAGCAGAGATTTCTAAAATTATATATATACAGTGTATGTGTGTATGTATGTATGTATATATATATATATATATATATATATATATATATATATATATATACACACACAATATATGCACGCATACTTCTATGAAAAAATTGGTACACCCCATTGGACAAGCAAACATTTGATCATCTTTGAAACAGTGCCTATTAATAAAGTTGATATACTTGAACAAAACGAAAAAAGAAAATTAGCTTTTTCAATAATTTATTCAACAAAAATATCAATAGATAAGTACACCCTTGGCCGCAGAAGCTAACGTTGCATCCTTTAGCAGAAATAACTTTTTGTGGGTGTTTTGCATAATTGTCCACCATGCAATATTTTTATAGATGCAAGATGTTTGAGGGTTTTCTTGCATGTACTGCCCTTTTCAAATCCCCCCACCAAATCCGGGCTTTGGCTGGGCCATTCCATAACCCTCCATTTCTTCTTATTGAACTATTCCATGGTGGATTTGCTAGTTTGCTTAAGATCATAATCCTGTTGAAAGATTCACTTTCGGTTCAACTTTCAGACAGATTGCCTCACATTATCTTCAAGCACTCTTTGATATGATGCAGACTTCATAGTTGAGTCAATGAATGCAAGCTGTCCAGTCCTTGAGCCAGCGATGCAACCCCAAACCATAACATTTCCACCACCTTGCTTCACAGTTGGTATGAGGTGCTTCTCCTGAAAAACTGTCTTTGGTCTGCTCCAAACATGTCTGCGGCTACTGTGGCCAATCAACTCTATCTTTGATTTGTCTGTCCAGAGCACATTATGCCAAAAGGAATGGTCTTTGCCTATATGCTCATTGGAAACTGTAGACTTGCAAAGGCTTTTTCCTGGCACGCCTCATGCAGGTCAAATTTGTGCAAACTTTCTGATTGTAGAAACATGCACTTTCATAC